AAGTAATACTAAGTAATCTGATACTAAGTAATTTGACTTTCTTTTGTTTTGCCCGATATAACCCAGAGCCAGGCTTAGATTAGGGGTAAAACAAATATTTAAAAGTATGAATGTGTATGTTGGGGGGGAGTGATAAAAGGGGAGGAAGGGAAGGAATGGATAGGGTGGAACCCAACTGTCCCCCACCCCGGGCTGTGTGGTTCATATGCGTATACATGTGTATATATACATACACGCACACATATGTATATACATATGTATATGTGCACTCACATTTTACATACACACATATGTATTATGGTATATATATAGCTTATGTATTCATAACATATGAATATATGTATGATTTTAAGACTTGCGAAGTATTTAACATACATTAGACTTTGATCCTCATAATAATCCTATGAAGTAGACACCATAGGTATCTTAATTATAATAGATAAGAAAACTCAAGCTCAAAGAAATTAAATGATTTGCTCATAATCATACAGCCAGTATCAGGCCTGGAATTCAAACCCGGACGTCTTCTGACTCAAGGTCCAACACTCTTTCTATTATGCCACAATAAGGATCAACGTATTCCCCTGGTTCCAGAATTTCCAGGAACTCGAGACGCTTCTCTCCCTTCCAAATATAGAAAGTGTTGGTTAGTTCTTAGGTAGGACAGGGTGGACGCTGGCAGCCCTTGCCCCGGGCTTCAGTTTCTCTTCTGGGGCATTCTGACTGACTAGGTGCTGAAGGATAATGGAGATTAAAGTGATTTGGCACGGGCTGATGTTCAATACACATGACACCAATGATATTCAAACGATATAAAAACCAGAGGATCTTTTTTGTAATGGACTAGCAGCCCTGTTGATACTAGTTCTTTCCAAGGGCTCTGCCCAGCACCCCTAAAGCCAGAGAGATGTGTGATGTCATTTCCAAAGAAGTCTTTGCTCTGGGGTCAGAACACCCTGGATCTGAGTTCTAACTCTGATATTTACTGGTCCTGTGACCTTGACCAGGTTATTTCCCCTCTCTTTGTTTCCTCTTCTGTAAAATGGGGATAGTAATACACTCCCTACTTGCCCAGGGAAGAGCTTTAGAAATATTAAAGTGTTATAGAAATGAGAGTTGTTATTAACACTCTCCCCAGACGTAGGTGTCTCCTCTATTTCCTGGCCCAAGCCCCAGGGGCATCGAAGAGGCAGCTGCCCTGCCTTTCCCCAGAGCTTGATGCCAGAGTTAGTGAAGGAGGCATAGGGCTCTTCACTATGCCCTAGGGGGAAGAGATCCCCATGTGAAATCCACCTCGTGAAACTGATCTTGTCCTAGTGACTGGGGCATTGGGTATTTGGGGGGGAGGGGGGAGGGTGTTAAAGTTATTAATAACACCCTGGCAGGCTGTGTCATCCCACCTCTGGGGTGAGGATGCTGACTCAGAATCCCAGGGCTCCAATCAGTTCAGATCCAGGAGGCCCCAAGCCAAAGGATTCATGGCATTCCCCTACCCGCTCTGATGCAGTCCCAGGCCCCCAGGGTGGCTGTTCGCTGACCTGGCTCAGCTGGTGCCTCAAACCAAGACCTTAACCCCGGGGTGAGAGAGGGGGGAGTGTGGGACTAATGGGTGTATCCTGTTCCCTGTTTGCCTTGACCCAAGATACCAGATAGACTCTTTGGTGTGGGTTTGGGTAACGGAAGCAGGGTGGGAGGAAGTGGAGAGGGGGGTGGGATGTGGTAACTAGAACCACTTCCTGTCAGTGTTGAAAGCAGAACTCTCCCCAGGTTCTCCTAAATTCTGCCTCACTTCCCCCACCCCAGCTTGGGATACAGGCCTGGGGAACCAGGAAGTGGCCTTATGGTTATGTATTTCATTCCTGGGAAGATCGATTGAGAGAAAATGCAGGATGAAAACTTTGATACTTCCATGTAGGTGACCAATTTGTGCCTTCTCATCCTCTGTGATCTTTGTCCATGTCCTCCCTCACTATAGGGGTGCACCCAACATGCTGGGGACCTTGACAGTGGATATTAATGGAGCATAAAAGATATCCATGTGTTATCACTTTATGACAGGCCCATCACCTTGTCCAGTCATCCATTTCTCTAATAATAATCTTTACACCACTTCTCCATTACATTTCTTTGTTGGTAATATGCTGCAGTCTACTCAACCCCACTATTTGTCTTTTCATTGCCTTTTGGGTGACCTATAACTTTTATCCTTTGGAGACTCATATATAGAATATGGATGTTAAAACATGAGACTGATTCAGGGAGAAGCTTGGAGTCATAAAAGTATTTCAGAATTTCCCCGAAAGCAATCTAGCTTGATCTTCACATGGGTACGGGATAGAGGATGAGCACTAGGAGAAATACAGGTCAGTGGTGAGGTGTGTGTGCTGGAGAGGTTGAGCATGAATTTATCCCATTCTGGTCCCAGGTCACTATCCATCCTCAGTCTCTGTCCAGGATAAATATATACGCTACCCATACAAACACCTATCATGGTGTGAACAATTACATTTTTAATGATATCTTACACTTATAAAGAACTTCATAGTTTATAAAGCACTTTCATGTCCATGATCTCATACCTCTCAGGTAGATAGCACAAGGACTCTTATCATTATTTTACACATGAGGAAACTAAAGCTCAGAGGGAGAGCTTGGCATAATAGAAAGAACACAGGACTTTGAGTCAAAAAACCGAGAATTGAGGCCTGACTCTATCATTTATTAGTTGGATGATCTCAAAGAAATCACTGTCCTCTGAACCTCCATTTTCTCCTTCATCAAGTAGTAATGATAATAAATATGCTTTCTTGCAGAAAGTTGCAAATCTGTAAAATGGGAATAATCCTGGCACTACCTACCAGGCAGGTTTATTATTAGTGATATCTCACATTTATGTTTCTCCTAAAGCATTTTCCTAGAACAGAAACATTTGGTGTAGGGAGTCCTTCACCACCTCCTCCCTTCTCAGGCTCCACCTAATCCCTAATTGGCTCCACTAACCAGGTTAGAAAATCCCCCTCTGTGGGAAGGTGAGAGCAGCCAATAGACAGTTACTCCTGTATAGGGTTGGAAGGGACTTTCATTTTATTGACAGGGGAAATTGAGGCCCAGGGATGACTTGTCTAAGGTGAACCTGCAAGTTTGTGTCATTGTTGCAGTTTCATGGTGTGTTGTGGTGGGACTGTCTCAAAGAATTTAGAGTCAGATTGCTTCTAATTCAAATATAGGCATTTATTGGGAATGACGACTCCAATAGACTGAACCAGAAACTTAGTAAGACAACACAGGCAAATTCATTGTGTAATTATGTTGATTGCACAACAGAAATTGTGAATATTAAAAAGGTGGGAGGAGTTTATTAAGGGATTAGGTAATGGGGGAAGGGTCCCAGCCTCAGTGGAATTGTGTATTCGATTACCCACAATGCATACAGAAAAACTCATTAGGTGGAGGGGGAGGCTTACATGTGTGATAATGATATTATAGTAAGTCTCTCTACATCATAAGTTTACATAAAGGACAGCTTTTGCTATTACTGCACAGGTGTCTACTTAGGAAAAGTCTCTTTTATTGTTTTAGGGTCCGCATCCTGCTCGGGCATCCTGGTGGTGCTGATTTCTGATTGGCTGACTATTGGTCCTGTCTGAGATTAGATGGATGTGTTTGTGGTTGAGTGTGTGGACATACCTATTGTTTCTGTGGGAAATATGAGGAATGGGTCTAGGGGCAGAGGCTAGCTACAGGCAGTGGCTGGGATCTCGATCACATGGACATACCCACTATTTCTGTGGAAAATATGTGTTCACAGACACACCTGTTGTTCTGGTGAGGCAGTGAGGCATATATGAGGAAGTTAGGATATTGGGGGGGCAGTAGCTAGGTAGGGGCAGTGGGCCTGGATTCATTGAGGCCTATGATTGAGTCTGGGGGGCCTGTTGTGTTGTTCAAGCCAGATTGTATGATTAAATATGGACTTGCCTGTTGTTCAGTGATGACCACAAGGAAGTTAGAATATTGGGGCTAGGGGCAGCTTTATCAGGATTCCATCATTATAGCAGTCACCCAAGTTTTAATCTTCTTTCTGAATCTCAGTTCAAGGCCCTTTTTATTGTACCCCATTGCTCCAGGAGGAGGAAGCATATGTTATATGATATATGTGAGAGGTAGACAAGGGAGAGAGTATCAATTCAATTCAATTTAATAAATATTCAATAATCACCTACTATGAGACCGGCATTGCACTAAGATCTGTGGATACAAAAAGAGGCAAAAGACCATCCTGGCCCTCATGGAGCTTATAATTTCAAATGGGTATAACATTGTAATTGTAATTTCACATCTATTATCTCACTTGATGAAGCACAAGAACTGTGAATAGTAGTGATCGAGGTAGGTTTAGCAAATAGGAAACTGAAGACTAATCAGGGGAATTAACTTGTTCATTTCACTCAGGTAGTAAATAGCAGAGAAGGATTCTAACCCAGATGTTTTTAACTCTAAATACAGGACATTTTCCACTCCACCAATCTGCCTCTCTCAAATAGAGGATACCTCCAGGAGATCCTAAGACATGTTGAACTCCCTTAGATTGACCCACTGGTTTCATTCTCTCTATCCTGTTCCCACAGATGCTGCAACTTGGAAAACCTCAACCTATTCTCCTGTGCCCAAACCCCTTCAGCTTGGCTGTGGTTTCCTGCATCTGGGGTCCTGACTCGACAAATCAAGCTCAGTTGTTAAAAGAGGGTGGTAAGGAGAGGAGGGGCATGGTTATGGGGGCTGGAGCCAGACAAAGAGGGGGGATGTGAGTCTCAGTCAAAGAGAAGCCCCTCAGACAGACACAGACTTCTGAATCTCCTGAGTCACAGTATTGGCAGACCTGAAGGGGAGGGTAAGAGGGGCGGGGTTCCTGCCCCTCCTTCCTTTCTGCCTGCCCCCTGAGTCATCCACTGTTCTATAAAGCCCCTTCTGTATCTTTGGGCCCCAGTCTGCCACAGAGCTCACCATGCCTCTGCTTTGGCCTTTCCTCGAGCTGATGCTCTTCATGCTAGGCTGCTGCTCGGGGGCACCCCAAGGGCGCCCCTCTGCTGGGCCTGTACTGATCCAGTTCCCCGGCGAGAAAATGAACAATCTTACTAACCAGCAATTCGCTGAGGTGGGCAACTGACCCGACTAAGGGGCTTGAAAGATGGGAAAGGAGAAAAGGAGATGAAGAGAATGGGCAGGAGACAGGTTAGGGGGGTGCCCAGGATACTAGGGAGTGAACTAGGGCCTAAACAGGGAGTGTGGTATGCGCCAGAAGATAGATGTTGGAATGTATGAGGGGTAACTAGCATTCGGGAGGATGTGCCCAGGGTTGGGCACAGGGATTGGAAAGGTCAGGAGTTGGGCCCGACTGTCTGGCTGAAGGGGCCAGTGAGGATGGGAGAGGACTAGGGTGCTCAACTATCAATCGTTTCCCACCAGGAATACCTGAATCGTTATGGCTACATCCCGGCAGGGTTGCTGCACAGAGACCACTCTTCTATGAAGCATGCGCTAAGGAAACTCCAGCGTCAGCTGGCCCTGCCAGTGACAGGAGAGCTGGACAGCGCCACCATAGCAGCAATGCACGCCCCGCGCTGCGGAGTACCTGACGTGGGCCAATTCCAAACCTTCGAGGGCGAGCTCAAGTGGAAACACCAGAACATCACCTATCGGTTAGCAGGAAGAGGAATCAGGGGATGGGGAGTGAGGAAGCATTCCTATTGCAGGAACTCCTGGGGGCCAGAGAGACAATCTGGTGTGATGGAAAGAGCACAAGACCGAGAAATTAGGAGACCTGGGTTCCAGTCCTAGCTCTGGCACTAACTCGTTATGTGACTTTAGACACTTCCCTCTTTAACTTCAGTTTCTTCATTTGAAAACAGGAAAATAGGAGTAGTAGTGGACAAGATGATCTCTAAGGTTTCTTTCAGGTATGTGTGTGTATGCGCTCTGATTCTCTCACCTCCCTGCAGAGTCCAGAATTACTCCCCAGACCTGCCTCCTGAGGTGACGGATGATGCTTTCGACCGAGCCTTCGCTCTATGGAGTAGCGTGACTCCACTCACCTTCACCCGTCTCAGCAGTGGGGACGCAGACATCCTTATCCAGTTTGGGGTCGAAGGTGAGGGGACAGCAAACCGAGCGGATTGGGAGTGCTGTGGTGGAGCGTAGGGTGCGAGGAAAAGGCCCCAGTAGCTCCCTTCTTGCAGCCTTAGATTGACCCGGCCCCTTTCTCTTCTCTTTTCCTTTGCCAGAACATGGTGATGGATACCCTTTCGACGGAAAACATGGGCTCTTGGCTCACGCTTTCCCCCCAGGCCCAGGAATCCAGGGAGATGCCCATTTTGACGACGATGAGTTCTGGACCCTGGGCAAAGGCGCCGGTGAGACTTCTTATCACCACCCCTCCTCTCCCCGCTCCCCGCGATCCCCCCCCCCCATCCATCCCCACTGAATTTTGCATCTCTTCCTCTCTCAGGCAAGGCTTTCCCCTTGGGGAGACCCAGTGCGACCTAACTGTCTACTTCCCCTCTCTTCCCACAGTGGTCCAAACGCGGTTAGGGAATGCAAAGGGGGCACCCTGCCACTTTCCGTTTATCTTCGAGGGCCGCTCCTACTCTTCCTGTACCGCCGAAGGCCGCACTGACGGGCTGCCCTGGTGCAGCACTACAGCTAACTACGACACTGACAAGCTCTACGGTTTCTGCCCCAGCGAATGTGAGCTGCGGGCCTAGATGCATTGGGGACGGGGGTGGAAAGCAAGCAAGGGAGGAGTGAGAAGAGAGGGGAGGCAGCGGCCCCTACCTTCGCCTCCTCAGGTCTCTCAGATATAGAATTCTAGTTAGTGAAGGAAAGGGAGGGTGAACCTAATCTCAGTACCACCTCTTTACCCTAGTGCTCTACACCCTGAATGGTAACGCCAACGGAGATCCCTGTGTGTTCCCCTTCACCTTCGAGGGTCGTTCCTACACAGCCTGCACCACTGACGGACGCTCTGACGGCTACCGCTGGTGCGCCACCACAGCCAATTATGATCAGGACAAGCTTTATGGCTTCTGCCCCAACCGAGGTACTGATTCTGACTTCCAGCGAACCTATCCCCACTTTCTCTTCCTGGAGGAGAATGCCATCCTCCTCACCCTTCTTGCCCTCACTGCTGGATTCGATTTCTTCTACAGATACTGCGGTAACCGGAGGCAACTCCCAAGGAGAACCCTGCGTCTTTCCCTTCACTTTCCTGAATCGAGAATACTCCACCTGTACCAGTGAAGGCCGCACTGACGGCCACCTCTGGTGTGCGACCACTGATGACTTTGACCGTGACCGCAAGTGGGGGTTCTGTCAGGATCGAGGTAAGATGGGTAGGATAAGCGTCTAATGGGAAGAACTCGAGCTGAGACAGCATAGCAAGAAGGGTGGGTGTGAGAGAGATGTCAGAGTCTGGGAAGGGATGCGGTGAGGATAGTACGGGGAGGGAACAGGGAGTGAGAATCTGGACTCCTTCTTCATTCCCCGTTCCTCCTTCAGGGTACAGCTTATTCCTTGTGGCGGCACACGAGTTTGGGCACGCACTGGGCTTGGACCACTCATCTGTACGGGAAGCACTGATGTTTCCAATGTACAGTTTTACCGAAGGACCCCCGTTGCATTCGGATGATGTGAAGGGAATCCAGTATCTGTATGGTGAGGACGGTGGTATGGTTAGGCGGTGAGAGGGGGCAGGAAACTAACATCCAAATGGTGAGAGAGCATCCTGATTCCAACATCTATATGCTGAGAGGTGGTGATAGGAGAGGCACTGTGAAGTTCGGTAATGGGGATTTGGGACAGGGAGATAAAAAGAAAAAAAATCTTATTCCGTTCTTATGCTCTCATCTTTAGGTTCTAGGACTGAGCCGGAACCCAAACCTCCGACCTCTGCTCCTGTAGAGCCGGATTCCACCACTCAGTCCAATGCTTGCCCCACTCTGCCCCCCGCTGTCAGACCCACTGGCCCTCCTACCTCTCTCCCCTCGGCACCCCCCACTGCTGGCCCCACTGGGCCCTTAGACCCCTCTGATGATGTTTGTGGCGTCCAGATATTCGATGCCATCGCTGAGATCCAGGGCCAGCTTCACGTCTTTAAAAACGGGTGAGCTCTGGGCCCTGGACCACTGAGAAGGACTTGGATACAGTTCTGGGAGGGGACAGCCTGAGCTGTGGCTGAGCGCCCCCTGCTGTCTTCCTTTGTTCCTCAGGCGGTACTGGAGAATCCAGCAGGGCTCCAAGGGGCGGCGGGCTCAAGGCCCCTTCTTCATCGCCAACACCTGGTCTGAATTGCCCCAGAAACTAGACACCGCTTTTGAAGATCCACTGACTAAGAAACTCTTCTTCTTCTCAGGTAAAGGCGTAAGGAGCTCCTCCCACAACAATCCTCCTGGAGCTCCCCACATCAGACAGGTCTTTAAAGGATATGAGTGCGCTTATGATTTATAGAATTCTGTCTAGAGAATGGATCAGCATAATGGCTCTGTAACCCAGATAAAACACAGGTTCATAACCTATGGAGATGGAAGGAACTCTAGAGACCATCTAGTTCAAACCTTTCATTTTACAGATTATGTGATTTTCCCAGGGTTACACTGGAGTAGCAAATAGGGTTAGAATAAGAATTGACTCCCAGTTCAGTGCTCCTTCCACTATACCTCACTGCCTTTCCTTTTCCCTGTAAGTGGAGAGTACAAAGGTACAGAGTACCTTTGCAACAGAATTCCTTTTACGTCCAACAATAATAAATAACTCATTTCTATAGCACTTCAAGGTTTATAACATGTTTTCTTCATTATAGTCTTGTGAAGTAGGCAAGTGTGACTCTTGCCCCCCCATCTTCATTTTACAGTTAAGGAAACTGAAGCCCAGAGAGGTTATATGATTTTCTTATGATCACATAGCCAAATAAATGTCAGAGCAGAGATTCAAATCCACGTCTCTTGATTCCAAATCCCACACTCTTTCTATTATATCATCCTACCCTTCCAAAATTTCTCTTGAATGTGGGTCCCTAGTCTCTTTTTTTACTTTCTGCAGGCCAAAAGGTGTGGATATACACAGGTCAGTCAGTTCTGGGCCCCCGTCGACTGCAGAAACTGGGTCTGGATCCCAAAGTGCCCAGGATAACAGGTGCCATTCAACATAATGGGGGCAAGGTGCTACTGTTCAGCCAGAATCAGTTTTGGAGGTGAGAGAGGGCCTGAGCAGAATAAGGTGATTGGGGGGTGGGCAGAATGCTTAGGGTAAGATGGAACAGACATCCAATACTTTCTTTCAAGGTTGGATGTGAAGAAGCAAAAGGTAGACGGAAGTGAACCTTGCCCTGTGGAGAGCATGTTCCCTGGAGTACCAGAGAACACTCATGATGTTTTCCTGTATCAAGGTAAGGAATGTAGGTCTGAGGTCATCCCTGTTTTATGACCTATTACTCTGTGCCTATCTCTATGTTTCCTGCCCCCCTTCCCCATGACCCTCGAGGTCAAACAGGATCTGTCAACCAGGAAGGGAGAGGGTGGAATTGGCCTGGGAGTATTTATAGTTGAGGGTGATAAAATAAAAATAAAGTACAGATCAATCGTTTTGTAATTATTGAAAACCTTCTAGAACAGGGGTTTTTAACCTTGGGTCCAACAGACTCCAAGTGGTCTGTAGATAGAATTCAGGGGGTCATGAGTTTAGATGGGAAAAATACATCTTTATTCCAATAGAATTATTGTCCTTTCTAATCCTATGCATTTTATTTTATTAACTTAAAAACACTATTCTGAGAAGTGATCCATAGACTTCACCAGACTGCCAAAGGGGGGCATGACATAAAGAAAGTGAAGAACTTCTTTTCTAGAAGGCATTATAAAGAAATAGTTTGTAAGCAATTTAGAGCAAATAAAAGCAGTAATCAACAGGAACCAATCAAGGTTCACTAAGAACAAGCTCTATTAGACCAACCTAATTTTAACCATTGATCAGGGAAATGCTTATCAAATTTGGAGATGATACAAAAATTGGAAAGAGAAGTTAATGTATTGGATAGGAGAATAACAATACAAGAAAAAATATACAGACTAGGACTATTGGGCTTAATCTAATAAGATTAACTTTATTGAGGATAAATATAAAGTTCTTCACTTAGAGTCTAAAAATCATTAGTACAACTATATTGGGGGAGAATGTGGCCAGCCAACAGTCAGTAATAAAGGTGGGGTTTAGTTGGTCACAAGCTCCATATGAGTCATTTCCATCATGTGGTGGCTAACCAAATCTCAGTCTCCATGATTCAAAGTCTAATGTCCAGAATCAAGGAGTTGACTGTTCCATTGTTCTCTGCTGTGGTCAAATGCCATCAGGAATTCTGGAAGCCTCATTTTAGGAAGAACATTGAGAAATTGTACCCTTTCCAGAGGAGAGTGACCAGGATGGGAATTCATGTCATAGAAGGATTGGTTGAAGAAACTGGGGGATGTTTATCCTGCAGAAAAGATTTAGGGAAACGATGGCTGTTGAATATCTGAAGAGTTATCATAAAAAAGAGTTATCATAAGAAAAAAGTCTTAGACTTAGTCAAGGAAAGGGAATTTACAGGAAGGCAAATTTCAGCTCAATAAAAAGGAAGCACTTCCAAAATTTTCTGGCTGCCTTTTTTTTATTATTATTATTATTTTTTTTAGTAGTGAGCTCCTCACCATCGGAGATATTCAAATAGAGCCTATATGACCCTTGTCAAGAATGGAATTGAGGGGATTCGTCCCAATGGGTGAAAGTTCCGACTGTCTAGGACATTCCCTCACCGGGAGGGCAGATTAGAATAGGTGATTTCTGAGATCCCTTTCCAGATCTAATACACTATCTTCACAATCCCCTCCCCACTTCCATCCCTAGGAAAGGTGTACTTCTGCCAGGACCACTTCTTCTGGCGCGTGAGCCCTCATGACCAGGTGAACAAGGTGGACCAGGTGGGCTACGTGACCTACGACCTCCTGCACTGCCCAGAGGAGTAACCTCTCAGCTCCCCTGGGCGCTGCCAGAATGATAGATATGGAGCTGAGAAGGAGAGGACGAACTGTTGCTGTGCAAATGGTTTAGATCTGAAAGGAGAGGAAGGTGCGGGCCGGCCCGCAGCGGGAGGCAGGGCAGGGCAGGGCCCGTTCCTTCCTCGCGGTCAGGAAGGTTTCTAATAAACTCGGATTTTCGAAGCCTTGCTCAATCGGATTTCGTTTGTCCTCTTGGGGCCCAAGATCAGGAAGAAGGCTGAGGGAGAGGGGTCTGTGTGTAGTAGTGGTGGGGGGAGGTGTTTTAAGACTTAACGGGACAGCAAGAAGACTCCCTTTGACTGAAAAGAGGAGCCTGACAAGAAGGAGGAGCGAGTACAGGGCTGGGCTAAAGAGTCAACCCCACCTATTCCCCCCTAACCTCCTTGTCAAATACACCCGCACCTCTTTCTATTCAGGGGGCTGTCTTCGCGGAGAAGCCAAACAAGGGCGTAGAGGGCGCTAGGACCCTGCGAAGCGAGTAGCAGTAGACGGGCGGGGGGGGGGAGGGGGGAGAGAAGCTCACTCTCCCTCTAGGAGACCGGGCTGCAGCTACTTAAGAGATCTCGGCCCAAACCTGAGCACCCAGTACCTGGACACCCCCCATCCCGAACCCCCACCCCACACGCACCATGAGCCGGAGGTTCACTGTCACCTCTCTGTCCCCTATGGGACACCAGGGGCCTTCCAGCCCGGGTTCCCACTTGGACCCCGACCCGCATGGTTGCCGGGGAGAAGACGCCAAAGGTAGCCGAGGCTCGGAAGGTAGCTGCCAGGGATCTAAAGGAAAGGAGGCGGGGCTGAGCTGGCCAGGGGAGAAAGGGCGGGGCCAGAGCCAAGGAGTGGGGACTAACCTGATGAATGGCCTTGTGAAGAAGGGGCGGGGCTAACCTGAGGTGGGCAGGGCCTTTAGAAAGGGCGGGGTCCTCTGGGAGATTGGTACCTAGTAGTGGCCAAGAGGGGATAGATAGGGTGGATTTGACCGAGAGGAGGTGGAGTCTAAAAGGGGAGGATTTGAGTAGGGGAGGGGTGGGGATTAGCTGGGGTTTAGGATGGGACGAGAGTCTGGGCCTAGGATGGGTTGGGGCCTCTAGAAAGAAAATTAGTATTCCAGGAGAGAGGAAGAAACTCTTGGTTTTTGGAGCCACAGAGAGGCCTGACCCCATCAAAGCAGTTGAGGTACCCAGGCGGAACCCCTGCCCTTCTCTCCCGCCATTCAGCTGTCCTCGAGAGCCAGAAGGAACCTGGCACTGGATTGGGCCTTAGGATTCCTGTTTTCTCTCCTGGTCTTTGCTCTGCAAATCGTCCTGTGCCTCAGTCCCATTGGGAGAGGAGGAATGTCTCTCGGGTTCGGGATTTCTAAATTCAGAATTGTAAGGCTCATGGTGTAGGAGAGGACTGGGGAAATTAGAGGAACTGAAAGGGAAGGGAAATGTTTTCACAGGCCTCAGAAGTTCCAGGGTATTGAGGAACCAGTGCGGGGAGGAAGAGGCAGACCTCAATATGGTTGCTAACAAGGAACTGCTTTTCCTACTCAGTTCCTCTTCTTGCATGATATTCCTTACCTGCCATATTCCTCTCCCTTTCCCTGCCTCCCACTTCTGTCTGACTAACTGGCTTGGTTGTATGACTGGGGACAAATCCTTTTCTTCTCTGGGCCTCAGTTCACCCACCTGCAAAACATACACAATGGTGTCTAAGATCCCTTCCAGTTTTGACCATCTCTGAGACTGTGACAGGCTAGGGGGTAGTTGGACCCTTACTGCCCAGTACACTCCCTAGAGAAGGCATCTTCCCCTGGCTACTAGGGGCTGCTGGTGAAGTACAGGGCCACCTATCTCTGGATGTGATCTTCACAAAGGCTCCCATACACATCCTTCTTTTGTCGCTCTAATTGGGAGTCCAAAAGGGCATTACTCTACCATGCCCTCCCAATGCCTCACTTGTTACTCAGCATGTCTCTGTCCACCTTTTATCTGGGGTGGGTCAGTCCCCTTTTCATCCTCTGGTTTTGTCCTAGTTTTCTCCTCACCCTCTGCATCTTAATCCTCATCTTCATTTCTTCTTTCTCCTCATTGGACTGAATTGCTGGTCTTATATACCTGAGGCTAAGCCCAGTCTTTCTGTGCTATAGCAATGTTACAAGCAAACATTCCCTCCTCTTTCTTGTCCTAGTGCCCCTTCCCTCTGGAAATTTAACTCACTCTGTGAGTACCTTGCAAATATATATGTAAACCATAGTGTGTATGTGGAATGGTGTGTAAGCTTGTTGTTCACGTATGCTTTTGCATGTGTATATAGGAGGCAGGGATAGGACTGCAGATGTATGGAAACATATTAATCTCAGACCTATTCTGACTGGTCTTGCTCAAAGGCTGGCCCATTTGTGTATGTGTGTGTGACCTGTGTATAATTGGCGGGGAGGGAGGTATAAGAATACAAATGTTTGTGCTCTGGAGCCATATAAATTGTGTATGCAATAGTGTGTTTGGGAAGGTTTCCCTAAGCACATCCTTGTACATGTAGGAGATGTGGCTATTCTGTCCTTTTATGTGTGGAATAGCTTGTGTGGCCTGTGTGTACAAATTTATCTCTCTGTGTGTTTTCTGTAGTCTGTGTATCGAATCGTGGTGAATTCCTGGAGGTGGGGATGGTATGGTATGAGTGTCCATGTCTGCAGGTTTATGTGTGTTAGGAGGGTGGGGTAGTATTTTCATCCCAAACTTAGGGATGAAAGGGGTATTTTTGATGTCCCATTAAGTCTTAGAACGTCACCCCCACTACTACTACATGCATAGCTCTCACCCCATTCCCTGACTGTGGGCCCCAGGAGGACAAATGAAATCTGATTGAGCAAGGAAACCCTAGCTCTCAGGGATGGTGAGTCAATACTTGTGTGTATGTATTTATGTTTATGTGTGTACCTATTGTGTCTCTGCCTGTGGTCATGTCTCATATTTAAAGATTCACTTTACAAGGTGAATCAGGCAACCATTTAATCCCCCCCAAAACTGGAAGCAGGTTCAACCATCCAACTTTCTTTTTCTTTTTTTTTTTTTTGCTTAGGCAGTTGGGGTTAAGTGACTTGCCCAGGGTCACACAGCTAGTAAGTGTCAAGTGTTTGGTCTGAGGCTGGATTTGAACTCAGATCATCCTGACTTCAGGGCCAGTGCTCTATCCACCGTGCCACCTAGCTGCCCCTCAACCATCCAGCTTTCTATAGGCTACTTACATGGGAAGTGTAGAGGTGATTGCTTGAAGGGATGTAACATCTGCCTGACTCTTTGCTCCAGTTGTTTCTGTTCCACTCCTACTACAAGTGAAAGGAAGCTCGCTCTATTCTTCTCCATTTGGGGAGGAGTGGGTCCCTTGGGGGAGTGAAGTTAAAGTATGCATGGAAGGAAGAGGAAGTGGGTACTCTTTTGGAGAGGGTTTCATGGTCAACCTTAGCATTGACTTCCATGCTGGGATAAGGGTTATTCTTGCAGACTGCAGACTTCTGCCATAAACATAACTTGGATTCTAAGGGGAAACCTGTACCATCCACATGAGAGTTTGGTGGGGAGTGGTATATGAGCCTTAGGGTATACCCCAATCCTCAATTCTATTATTGACAATTTCCTTTGAACCAATGAAGTTCTTTATGGCTTGTTTTCCTCATGTATTTTATTTTGGACTGGACTTATCCTTCACCAGCATAAGGAACTCCCAGTATCTACCAATGCAGATATATACCTGCTTTGCAATGGGCATTGAAAGGTTAAGTGACTTGCTGAGGGTTACACAGTCAATATATGTCCAAGGAAGAAGTTGAGTACAGATCTTCTTGATTCCAAGGAAGGTTATTTCTAAGCCATGCTACTTCTCTTCTCCACCTGTACCATGGCAAGAATGATGGGAATAGGCAATGAATGAGCAAATTCTATTCTTGCCTACCTACTCTGTTTCTATTTCTTCAAGGAGAGAATGACACTGATGTGGCAAAAAGGAAACCAATGAGTTACCCTCACCTCAGTTTCCCTATCTGTGCCATGAGGAGAATATTATCAATACAGAAAGTAGAAGTGTACCTGAACAGATGGCCTATCCTCAAAACTCCACTCCATACACACCCAACTCCCATCCCAGTGCATAGGATCCAAGAATGGTCAGGCCATTCAGTAACACCTCACATACAAGGTGAGCTGCCTGGAAATCTCCATGGCAACAAACTGGTTATGAAGAAGGCCACTGTTACCATGGCAACAGGCTCCCCCCCCTTCCTCCTTCTCAATGAACCAGAGCATCTGAGTCCTAGGAGTCTGAGGTTGAGGGTGGAGGCTCATGCCTCTCAAACCCCAGACCTGGGTCTCAGTATGGGAATAGGGGAGAGGGGACAAGACCAAATCTTAGGGACTCTGTGGCTGTTGGGGTCCTGTTGTCATGGAGATGGAGCTGCAGCCTGTTAATTAAGCCACTGGTTGCCACGGAGATAGTGGTGGTGGTTGACTTGCTCTGCAGTGAGGGGGCGGGGGACTCTGCTGGACTCATCATTTACAACCTAGGGCTTAGGGGGAAGATGTTGGAGGAGGTTATCAGTGGGCCTAAAGGCATCTTTGTTGTGGAGACCAGGGTGGGAATGAGGGTGGCAGGGTATGGAGGCTGAGAGGTGAAATAAGATCCAAAGTGAGAGGAATATAGTCCCTTCTGGGGCTTTGGGGTTGGAAGGCCTGGAAGGCTCTTCCTCCATCCCAACCTGGCATGTTTAAGCAACCAATAATCTCTGACTTCCTGAAAGCAGAGATGGTATTAATTTGCCTTGAGCTAAACATTTCTTTGATAACATCAAGGTGGGAACACTGTTTTTTTCACCTGCAAGGTGGTGAAGTTGGACCAGGTTATTACTAAAGTCCCATCAAAATTTGATATTCTATATTCTAAGGTCTTCCAGCTCTGACATTCTGTGTGTGTGTGTGTGTGTGTGTGTGTGTGTGTGTGTGTTTGTTCTAAGTTTCCTTCAATTGTTAACATTCTGTGAATTGAGTAGGGGAACATGATAGAGCTGGGGCAAAGGGTGTATATGTGTTTACTGAGGAGTTCCACAGTCCAGAAAGCTGTCCCTGCCCAAACCTCTGGTCTATAGATAACTCTCTGGAGACGGGAATTTGATATCCAGGGTGGATAAG